ATAACTTGATGGTGAAAAAAAATAGTTTATGAGTGCATGATATTATTATTGTTTCAAATGGCAGGCTATGCGATAATCATTATTAGCCTTTTACATTGACAATGCATCCCCCAAAGGTAGGGGGGGGGGTACATTTATAGGAGTTAATTAATAGAAGTTCATTAGCAGTCCTCTTGCCTCCCAGTATCTCTGGCTTTCCGTCGCTGTCTTTAGGGCTGGACACTGAATCATATAGGCCTTATTCATTTCCTCCTGTAGATTAAAAAAGATGCACGTAGGTTGAGTTTATACTCACAATCTGTGAAGGTGTTTTGCCAGGCAATCGTGTCCGGCACGTAATCTAAACTCAGCAACGGCTTCGATTCTTGGTCAGTCGGCTATATCGGAGAGTGCCACTGTCCACTGTTTCTCCTTTGTTCGAGCTTTAAGTTCGTTGCACTTTGAGGTCTGGAATTCTCATGCTAAGCCCTTCATTATGTGGAAAGACATCGGCCGGTCCATGCATTGCAAAATCGTTGTCCCCTTCTTAGCAAGTGTGTCAGCAAGCTCATTGCCTTTAATGCCACAGTGACCAGGAATTCATTGTAGGTCCACTGTTTTGTTTTTTCTATCTCAGCAGCTGATAGAGTTTTCTAACTTCGTTTATCTCAGCTGTTTTGGGAGGCTCTTTGGTTCCAATTGAGGTTATCACTGACTGTGAGTTCGAAAATATAACCGCTATGTTGAATTTCGTTTTCAGGCAACATTATTGGCATAGTGCCATACTGTTGGCTTCTATTTCTTCTTCGAAAGCGGATCTATTGTGTCCTGCTGCTGCGTAGAAGTAGAAGAGTTCAGAGTAGACGCTTACACTTACGTTTTGTCTGGTTTTCTATGTAATATCCATCACTGAAGACCTGGAGCCATTATTCTCCTGGATAGTCGACATTGATTGTTTCAAGGGCAAGTGAGCGCAGTTGTTCTGGAGGGGTGTTTGATTTCCTGAAGAATTCAAGCAGTTGGGTGCAAAACACTACATCAGTGTCTGCTAACGGGTTTCATGGGTAAAAGGAGGCTTTTTAGTTTGTTATGTTTATTCAGTTCAATGACTTTCTATTTTAGACCAGATTGATTTTTCAGATGTCTTGGACTATTATTATAGATGCTGAAGAATTTATCCACGGGAATGCGCAGTAACGTCTCATACAGGAACAAGGCCTTTTTTTTGATAAGGGAACATATTATGGTGCTTCCTGTAACTAGAAGAATGAAATCAATAGGTGTTGTTTTTAGCCCTCAAGTAAATTGTCGTAATGCTTGGATGTGTGCCATCTCTAGTGGTTTGAGAGTCTCCTCTGTGGTTGTTATGAGTGGTTCACAGAAATACAATATTATTGGCTGATTAAACATCTTGTAAGTGGTGTTAAAGCCTGAGCGTGCACAGCCCCATACGCTACCAGCAAGACGCTTTATAGCGTACAGCCCCATACGCTACCAGCAAGACGCTTCAGTACATTCAGTCTATTGGCCTTGTAGGTGGTGTTGAGAGTTGAGCGCGCACAGCCCCATATGTAAGTGGTGTTTAGAGTTGAGCGCGCACAGCCCCATACTTACCAGCAAGACGCTTCAGTACATTTAGTCTATTGGAGACCCCAGCAAGACGCTTCAGTACATTCAGTCTATTGGAGACTCGATCTGCTATTTTAGCAATGTGACTTCTCCACGTTAAATTTGTGTAAAACGTCATTTCGAGATAAGTGAACCCATTGGTATTTTCTAGGTTAGTATCCTTTTACCTTAGAAGCCGGTTTATGGTGTGAAGAGTCAAAGAAAAAGTTTGGAATGCAGTTTTCGTGGTGTTAATTTCCTTGTATCTTAGAAGCGGGTTTATGCTGTGACGGGCCAAAACCTTAGAAGCCGGTTTATGGTGTGAAGAGTCAAAGAAAAAGTTTGGAATGCAGTTTTCGTGGTGTTAATTACCATTCCATTGTATTTATTTATTTCAAACGTCAGCATTTATGATATTAATCATTAGTCCTTAAACTTTGACTTCAGCTTCCCCTATCAGGACTTGGATCATTTTGTCCTGTAAAATCCCTCCAGCATTCCACTGGTAAATCTGTAGACATTGTGATTCGCCTTGACGAGATCGATTTCACCTTTAGCCTTGTTTCAAGCTAATCATGGTAAAAAGAATTCAAATCAAATGCCGAGTGATAGACTTTTTGCCGTACGAAGATACGTTGTCCAGGGGGCACCACGTGGTGGTAAGTATATCACGCACACCACCATTTCATTTTTGTAGCACTAGTTTGCCAGTAGTGTAAGTGCACAATTTGGAGCACTTACTGTCCTCTCCTGAACGTTTTTCTTAGGGGTCGAATACCATAGAACAAGATCATCTGCATAAAGTAAGCACTTGAAAAGAAAAAGAAGTAAAAGAAGACCTCACCCTGACGCCCGTGACTGTCTGTACCAATTCGGCTATGTCAATGATGAGATCGATGAAGACATTGAAAAGAGTGCAGCTTGTGACAGCTCCCTGTCAACATTGAAAAGAGTGCAGGTTGTGACAGCTCCCTGTGGAAACATTGAAAAGAGTGCAGCTTGTGACATCCCTGTGGAAGGTCCGAGTGCAGCTTGTGACAGCTCCCTGTGGAAGGCCCGTTTGTAAAAGATTGGATTTTGATAGAGCATTTCCAATCTGACTTTACATGATCTTTGTCCAATGAATGCTTTTATTCAATGACTTTACATAATCTTTGTCCAATGAATGCTTTTATCCAGTTTAGCATATTTTGCTTAATACCAATCTTTGCCAATTTTAGAATTAGCACCATACTAAGTCATATGCTGATTTGAAATTGACGAAAACAGACTAAGGGTATTTCTTGCATCAAGGGCATCTTTGATGTGTTTGTATGTATTTCTCGCTCAAGGGCATCTTTGATGTGTTGGGAGAAAGTGACTACTTGAGAGTGCAAGAATGGTGGGTTGCTTGGTCTCCCATCTTTGATATGTTGGGAGAAAGTGGCTATTTGTTGGTTAGTTGATCTTTGCGGCCTAAAATCTGTTTGTTCATAGGATATTGTTGGTCTCAAGGAACCAGGTCAGCCTCCTGTTAACCATTCCTTCCATAAGTTAAGCCAGGTCAGCCTCCTGTTTACCATTCTTTCCATAAGTTTAGCCATAACATTTGAGAGGGAGATAAGCCTATAGTTGCCAAAGTTGCAAGGGTCTTTGCTCTTTTTTGTAATTGTATTGCTATGACAACTTTCCATTGGTTTGATACGAGACTGGTCTCTCAGATTTTGTTGAAAAGCGTCGGCATGGTTTCCTTGGCTTTTGTGCTCATTCTATTTAGAAATTCCGGATGAATACCATCTTCGCCAGGAGACTGTTTTGTACTTGAGCTGTTTTATTGCAGGATTAAGTTCGCAAGGTGTGAATGGTTCAGTAAGTACATTATTTGGTGTCCAAGGTCGGAATGGTTCAGTAAGTACGTTATTTGGTGTTGTCAAGGTCGCAATGGTTCAGTAAGTACATTATTTGGTGTTGTCGTGACTTTCTTAATTTCACCCAACTGTCTTACTTGTATATTTCTATCTCCTGAAGATTTTCTGACGAAAGTGTTTTTCTTTTGCTTGTGGAAATAGAACCCCGCTAAGCAGTTAGTTATTTTGGATTCGGTGGAAAGCAGTTTGTTGTTTAAACGAATTGGTTCTTTCTTGGGTCTTTCTCTGTTGTTTTGAAGGTTACCCAGGAATTTGAAAGTGCGTTGACTACCACTTTGATAGTTGATATTTGAGATGAACTTGTCGAAGGAGGTGCGTTTAGCTTGTAAGATGGCTTGCCTTAGGACAGCTGATTGTCGTCTCCAGGCTTGTGCGTCTTCCATTCTTCCAATCTGATTAGCAGTAATGCGAAGGGGGTCCCGCTTTCTTTTCCCTGATCAGCAGTGTTGCGAAGGGCGTCCCGCTTTCTTTTAGCTTCCTCAAGGTGTTTGGACCAAAACACTCGATAGTGTTTATGTGTTTAGACCAAAACACTCGATAGTGTTTAGTCTTGCCTATGGGTAATGTGAAGGGCGTCCCGCTTTCTTTTCAGTTCCTCAAGTTGTTCAAGGGCGTCCCGCTTTCTTTTCAGTTTCTCAAGGTGTTCACAGGGGGTCCCGCTTTCTTTTCCGTTCCTCAAGGTGCTTAGACCAAAACACTCGATAGTGTTTAGTCTTGCCTCGGGGAATAGTTCACTTTGCACATCTAATCAAAATATTCTTGATAGCAGTGTAAAGTTTGTCAGGATGTTGATTGAAGTTGAGGCGACTTGTGTTAAGTTCATTCTCTAAAAGATTAGAGAATCTAGACCAGTCAGCCTTCTTGAAGTTTCATGATAGCTTAGTTGGCACATTCCGTCTCATGCTTTTGCTGCCGATGGTAATACTAGCAATGACTGGTTTGTGACCAGAACCAGGATCGTCAATTATATTGCGGCGTGTGTATGCTCGCTGATGTGGCATGTAGCCATAAGCAAGTCTGGGGTTTTTCTGGTTTCATTGTAGAGCAGATATGTAGCCGGATCCTCATTGCTGTAAATAAGTTCCAGAATGTCAGAGGGTTGTTGTTTAGCATGTCTTCAATTTCCTTTCCAGCTATGTTTGTATCCATGTAGCCCCATCTGGTGGAATGAGCGTTGAAGTCTCCTAATACTACAATTCTGGGGTGTTTTATAGATTGAATATATCTAAAGTAATTTTGACATTTCTAAACATTTAATCTGATTATTTCCCATATATCTTGCATCATGCCTATACTCTTGATTAGATCGTAATGTGAGGTGAGGCCTTCTTTTACTCCAGTATGAATTCCATTTGCAACTTGGCGGAATTTAGGTAGAATTTACAGGGTTTATCCTGGGAATCGATAGTATTTCAGTTTGCCTTCCGAAAGGTTTGCTTCCATAAATGTGAAAATGTCTACATCATAAGTTTGTAGGATTTTCTTGACTTGGATCTTTTTGTCCTGCGATATCTCTCTAGCATGGGGTGCGCGATAGACCTACCTCCACGTGGTACACCCTGGACAACGTATTTTATTACGGCAAAAAAGTCTATCACTCGGCATTCGTTTTTGACTTCGATTTATTATGATTAGCTTTAAAAATGCTATAAGAAAAATCGCCCTCCTCTGGGCGAATCACAACGTCTTCAGATCCTCCAGTGGAATGCTGGAGCAATGTCTCCGGACAAAAAGATCCAAGTACAGAAAATCCTACAAACCTATGATGTAGACATTTTCACAATTATGGAAGCTAACATTTTGGATGACAAACTGAAGTACAACCGATTCCCAGGTTACACCCTGTACAATCTACCTAAATACCGGCAAGTTGCAAGTGGAGTTCTAACTAGAATTAAAGAAGGCCTCACCTCACACTACGATCTAATCAAGGGTATGGGCTCGACACAAGACAAATGCGAAATAATCAGATTAAATGTTTGGAAATGTTAAAAAAAATCAAGATATATGCAATTTATAATCCACCCCAGAATTGTCACAACTTTGACATTCTGGACATCTCACACAAAACCATAGTATTAGGAGACTTCAAACGTCCATAATGAGGAAATTTATATTCCGA